ACCGAAATGTCGTGAATATGATATTTATGATGAGGACAACAGTCCGAATAAAATAAATCGTGTAAATAGTCAAAATAACTCAGTTTGGAAATACAGATAGGTCTCGAAGAAACTTGGAGCGTACAACGGCCGAAACGTTGTGAATATGACAATAAAGATGAAGGCAACTGTTCGAGCGATTTAAATCGTGTAAATAGTTACAGTACCTCATTTCAGAAATATAAACAGATCCTGAAGAAGGCGGGAGCGTACAACAGTCGAAATGTCGTGACTATCTCAATAGAGACAGTACGAACAATGTAGATCGTTCGTACTGTCATCCTCATCTTTACACTCTTTATATAGTGTAAATAATTAATGATTTAGTGATACCAATCTAACTAATTAACCAATAGGCTATAAACCGAAGTAATATACAGAATCTAGAATTGATTTTTGAATCTGGTTTTATTTTGGGGGTTGTTTTCTTTATTTCATTTCTTTTTAATAATGTTCGACAGAAAATATATGAGGCAATAAAAACGTACCTCATCAGAAGGATGCTGAGAATACCATAGACCGTACATGTGAGCAACGACGAAGTTTGGAAACATGAAGGACACTTACATTTAACATTAGAAAGAGATATTTGAAACTTCAAGGGCACATAATGAAGAAAGACGGCTTGGAAAATTTGACATACTGAAAGCTAGAGGGGGCACGACGAAGTGGTATAATAGTTAGCAAGCTTGTTTCGCTATATCAATTACGACTGAATAGTGAGTTCGATCTTCACTGAGTGCTCCATAATTTCGACCTTGTGCCACTGTTATGGGATCTTACCAATAATAATAATAATAATGGACCATTCCATACTTAATAAATACTGCGCCTCAGGAGTAGGCAAGGAGTCAGTAGTTCACTTTTGAACCGACTGTTCGGTTGAACTCTCTGCCTTTGAGCGGGGAGGAACCCGTAAGAGGCTACGCCGAAGGGTGGATTCTCTTTTGGAGAGGTAAACCGACCCTGAACCCGTTTATACGGGTTCAATGGACATATTTTTGGCCGAGCCCACGGGCTCGGAAAGCCCACGTTAAAAAGGCCTTGTGCCACATGACGCCCTCGTGTGTGTGTGGGGGGGACTGAATATCGTCAGTCAGTCGTTCACTTCTGAACCAACTGTTCGGTTGAACTCTCTTCCTTCGGGCGGGTAGGAACCCGAACGAGGCTACGCCGAAGGGCGGAGTCTCGTTCGGGGAGGTAAACCGGCCCTGAGCCCGTTTATACGGGTTCAATGGGCATATTTTTGGGCCGAGCCCACGGGCTCGGAGAACCCACAATAAATAACCGACCTTGTGTCACATGATGCCCCAGTGGGGGTGGGGGTGACTGAATATCGTCAGTCAGTAGTTCAAGTCGAGTCAAGAGTCGAGTCAGAGGCAGTCCGAAACAGAGTCGCGTTCAGACAATTACTGAAAGACATTGGAATAATGATACTGGTCGAGACTACATTGTTCTCTCTACTAAACCTGATTATTCGTACTAACACTTTCTACTTCTCTGTATATATTCCTGTTTGTAATATATCTGTGTTATTCCATATCCGTGTTCGAATTCTTCTTTATTGGTTCTACCTTGGACTATCACCGTGGTACAAGGAATCGGACCATAACAGCCACATCTACGCTACCCTTAGAAAATCATTTATGCACCTCAACGTGGTGTAATGGTTAACAAGCTTGTCTAGCTGGAACAATTATGACTGAGTAGTGAGTCAGCAAGCTTTTATATCCTGGCACATTCTCTACTCACATTAATAATACTTTCCAACACCAGCCTGGTAGCAACTGCCCCTGGTGGCACATTCTAAAAGATTTAATAAATCTTTTTTTTATGTGTTAAGTTCCTTCAGGAGGTAGGTGATCTTGACTGCCTTTTTTTTATTGTCATAGATTCTTAGGAAAGATTGTGGAGTAGTTCGCTTTGAATTCCCCATGGTTTTAAATCGGCCTATAAATCTTTAAACTTAAAACTAATGAGCCAACTCAACCATGTTATTTTACCCATAGAAGTGGGGAGAAGTGATGTTTTCATGCCTTTCTGTTGTATTCTTAAAGAGTGAAGGAACAGCAAAACACACGTAGATGAAAGAAAGAGAGGTTTATTGTAAAAGAAAATACACTACTGAAAGACAGGGACTCAAGTAGCAGGCTAGTAATTCCCAAAGCAAGGATATTTACCTTACTTTCCCGTTAAAACTGAACCCGTGGGCTTGGGCAAAAATTCCCCGTAGACTCCGTAAAAACGGGGTCAGGTATCTGTCTACCACCCCAAACGAGTCTCTGCTCTTCGGCATAGCCTCGTTTGGGTTCCTCTCTGCCTGAAGGCAGGGAGTTCGACTAGCTTAGCTTAGCTAAAGCATACGATATTCAGTCACCCTCCCATGAGGGCGTCATGTGGCACAAGGCCTTTTTAACGTGGGCTCTCCGAGCCCGTGGGCTCGGCCAAAAATATGCCCATTGAATCCATATAAACGGGTTCAGGGTCGGTTTACTTCCCCGAAAGAGAATCCGCTCTTCGGCGTAGCCTCTTTCGGGTTCCTCCCGCCCGAAGGCAGAGAGTTAAACCGATCAGCCGAACGTCCGACTTCAGACTGAACTTATAGTGATTTTCTAAGCCCGACATAGATGTGGCACAAGGCCGAAAGTATGGGGCACCCAGTGAGAATCGAACTCACTACTCAGTCGTAATTGATCTAGAAAGACAAACTTTCTAACCATTACACAACATCGAGGTGCCTTTATTTTTCAAACGTAGCTTAGAAGTGGCACAAGGCCGAAAGTATGGGGCACCCAGTGAGGATCGAACTCACTATTCAGTTGTAACTGTTTTAGCGAGACAAGCTTGCTAACCATTACACTACGCCGAAGTGACCTTATTGCTAAAGCATACCCCCAGGTATGTCCTTTGCTCACTATATATAGCTACTGATATAGTCAGTCCACATAGAGATAGTGGATGTGGGACATTCCATTACAACACTTTCCCAATGGCAACAATGAGAAAGCATGTTATTTATTTACTTTCCCTATACCGAATCTAAGATGAATGCTAAATTTAAGAAGAGTGACTCGTCACACTTTCTTGGACTAATGTTTTTTGTTTTTTTTTTCCCGCTAATATAAAGTGGAAAGAGTATATTGAATCAATCACTAAGTCTGGAGCTAGGAAAGTTGGTCCACTGCGTAGAGCTAGACATGATTTTTCTCGCCAGAATCTATCTTACATATTTATAAGGCTACCATTCATCCTTGCTTTGAATATTACCGCCACATCTGGTCTGGTGCTCCGGCTATCAATTTAGAGATTCTTAACAAAATCCAAAGAAGAATCTGCAATGTTACTGGTCCTGACCTGACATCTCGGATTCAGTCACTTTCCCACTACTGTAACGTAACTTCCCTCTGCCTTTTTTCCTTTTTTTTTTTTTTTTTTTTTGTAAATACTTTCATGGTAATTGTCCAGATGTAATTTTCTCTATGGTACCTAGACTTTATGAATTTAAGCGCCGTACTAGATTGGCGTCAAGGTCTCATCATTTTAAATAGCTTATAGCTCGATGTTACTGTAAGTTCTATGCTAACAGTTTCTTCTCTCACACTTCTCACATGTGGAACTCTCTTCTGGCTTCTGGCTTCCCAGTCAACTTTGAACTTCAAAAATTTAAATGCAATGTCAATCGTTACCTTTTGTTTTCTTAATTATTTTACTGTTAATTTTCCTTAATAGTATATTTTTCTCATATTCTCTACCAGCGCCTTAGTAGCTTTATTGCCTTGCTTAGAGTGAAATGATTAAAAAAGAACTCATAATGTAACTGTTATGCAACTGTATATGTTTCCAAACTTATTTACCGATGCAGCTACACAATCTTCCACTTTTTCTAGGTAATGATAAGCATCAAAAATTGTTAGTTCTGTCGAATAATAATCGTATGTCTGGTATTCTGCATTTGGTACCTATATTGGTTTGGACCATTTTATTATGATAAGATTGTCAGGCAAGTGTTTTGAGACTTTCGAAAACCACACTCAACGTTTGATAGAAACGCTGATAAGATCAGTTCAATTAATTCTTGTTAATTTCAGACAAAGAACATAGATTTGAATTATCACCGCACCGGAAAGAGCTGAGAAGTAGGAGGAGGAGTAGGAGGAGGAAGAGGAAGTTGATAATGGTATTGCCCATGTTAAAGAATAACAGCTTCAGTGCCCAATTTCAAACACCGAATGCTTAACTAATGTTTACGTTGTTTGCGTTTTCAACCACAAGCGTCCCTTACAAATTCATTTACTTTAATCAGGCTTCGGGAGTTAGCAACAGAAAAACGCGATCCCAGCCGGAAACAGACGAAAATTTGAGCAGTTTTTTTTTTTTTCATGAAAAACGTAAACAGAACGAAATCATGAAAAAAAAATGCCTGAAAATGTTACCTGATGATATAAATGTTAAATCCCTTCTTTCAAAAAATGATTTTTTCTTTCTTAATGGTTTTGCATTTTTAGAAAATATAGTTATTCATTTACCCCAAATTATTTAATTACACGAAAATATTTTTCCTCTGTCCCAAGGTGTCCAGATAATCGAGCAAGTACACTCAAGGTAACGACAAACTTGTCAGAGTTAGAGAAATGCTCGTATTTAAATAAGTCTTTTTTCGTTCTTTGTGTTTCAAATAGAAGTATTTTAATTACAGATGTTTCAAAATATACTTTCACTTTCACTTTCGTTTTTGATAGAGCGTCTAGCGTTGGAAAACGGTAGTCGAGCTTCTTACGACTACTGCATTTCATTGCATCGATCCCTCAGTAGCTGGACCGAACCGAAAGGAACGAATAGTGCAACAGTAGTACGCTGCTATGTCTATGTAGGCCGACTAAATAAAACCAATGAGTAGAAGCGAGAGAATCAGCTAGCAAGCCGCTGACGAAAGAAGAGGCGACGAAAGAATTACCATTGAGTCAGTGGAGAAAAAAGACTCCAAGAGAAAGGCTTCCGAAGGTAGGTAGATATAGGGAGGGTGCAGATAATACTGAGGTGCTAACTCCGAAATGGTGGAAGACATTAGAGAGACAAGAAGAGAGAATCAATATAGGAAGGAAGGAAGGAAAAAAGAAGGAAGAATGAAAGAAAAGAAAAAAAGAAACAATGGAATCAAGCAATGAAGGTAAGAAAGACGGAATGAAGGAAGAAAAGAAAAATAGAAATAAAGAAAGGAATAAAGATAAGAAGAATGGAAAGAAAGACAGAAAGAAATGAAGGAAAGAATGAAGAATTGATGGAAGGATAGAAAAAGAAAGACAGAAAGCAATTGAAGGAATGAAAAAATGAAAAATTGAAGGATAAGAAAAGAAAAGAAGGAAGGGAGGACAGAAAAAGAAAGAAAGGAAAGAATGGAAGGAATGAAAAAAAGTAAAATGGAAGAAAAGAAAAAAGAAAGAAGAAAGGAAGGAAGGAAGGAGGAGAGAAAAAGAAGAAGAATGAAACAAAAGAAGGAATGGAATGAATGAAAGAGGGAAGAATGAAAGAAAAGAAAAAAGAAAGAAACTAAGGAAGGAGGGACGAAAGAATGAAAGAAAAGAGAAAAAATAAAGGAAAGGAATGAAAGAATAAAAAATTTAAGAAAAGAAAAAAGAAAAGAAAGAAGGAAGCACAGAAAAAGAAAGAAACAAAGGAAAAAAAGAAGGATGAATGGATGGAAAGAAAAAAGAAAAGAAGGAAGGATAGAAAAAGAAAGGAAGGAAGGAATGGGAGGAATGAATGAAGGAAGAATGGAAAGAAAGAAAAAAGAAAGGAAGAACGAAAGAATGAAAGAATGGAAGAAAAGAAAAAAAAAGATTAAAGGAAGGAATAAAAGAAAGAAAGATTGAAGGAAAGGAAAATGAAAGGAAGGATAGAAAAAGAAAAAACAAAGGAAGAATTGGAAGAAATGAAAGAAAGAAGAATGGAAGGAAAGAAAAAATAAAAATTAAAAACGGAATGAATGAATTATAGAAAAAGAAATAAAACAAACGAAGGAATTAATTAAGGAAGAATGGAAAGAAAGAAAGAAAGAAAGAAAGAAAGAAAGAAAGAAAGAAAGAAAGCAAGGAAGAATGGATGAATGGATGAAAAGGAAAAAAAGATTAAAGGAAGGAAGAAAAGAATGAAGAATTGAAAGAAAGAAAAAAGAAAAGGAAGAAAGAATGATATAAAAAGAAAGAAACAAAATAAAGAATGGAAAGAATGAAAATGGAAGAATAGAAAAAGAAAAGAAGCAAGGATAGAAAAGGAAATAAAACAAAAGAATGAATGGAAGGAAGGAATGAATGAAGAATGGAAGGAAAGAAAAAAAGAAATGTAGGCTACAAAATAGAAAGAATGCAAGGAAGAATGAAGGAAAAGAAAAAGAAAGGAAGGAAGGAATAATGGAAGAAGAGAAAAAGATTAAAGGGATGATTGAAAGAAGGAAGAATTGAAGGAAAGAAAAAAGAAAAGAAGCAAGAAGGGAATAATAGGAAAAGAAAGACACAAAGGAAGGAATGGAATGAACGAATGAAGGAAGTATTGAAAGAAAGAAAAAAGAAAAGAAGCAAGAAGGGAATAATAGGAAAAGAAAGAAACAAAAGAAGGAATGGAATGAACGAATGAAGGAAGAATGGAAGGAAAGAAAAAAGAAAAGAAAAAATGAGGGAATGATAGAAGATAAAAGAAACAAAGGAAGGAATGGAAGGAATGAAAGAAGGAAGAATTAAAGGAAAGAAAAAAGGAAGAAAGCAAGGAGGGAATAATAGAAAAAGAAAGAAACAAAGGAAGGAAGGAATGAAGGAAGAATGGAAAAAAAGAAAAAAGGAATGAATGAAAGAAGGAAGAATGGAAGGAAAGAAAAAAGGAAAGAAGCAAGGAGGGAATGATAGAAAAAGAAAGAAACAAAAGAAGGAATGGACGGAATGAAAGAAGAAAGAATGGAAGGAAAGAAAAAGGAATGAATGAAAGAAGAAAGAATGGAAGGAAAGAAAAAGGAATGAATGAAAGAAGAAAGAATGGAAGGAAAGAAAAAAGAAAAGAAGCACGGAGGAAATGATAGAAAAAGAAAGAAACAAAAGAAGGAATGAAGGAAGGAAGAATGGAAGGAAAGAAAAAAGGAATGAATGAAAGAAGGAAGATTTGATAGAAAGAAAAAAGGAAAGAAACACGGAGGGAATGACAGAAAAAGAAAGAAACAAAGGAAGAAATGGAAGGAAGGAATGAAGTAAGAATGGAAGGAAAGAAAAAAGAAAAGAAGGAAAGAGGGAATAATAGAAAAAGAAAGAAACAAAGGAAGGAATGGAAAGAAAGAAAGAAAAATGAGAGAAAGAAAGAAAGAAAGAAATGAAGGAATGATGGAAAAAGAAACAACGTAAGAAATAGAAGGAATGAATGAAGGAAGAATGAAAGGAAAGAAAAAAGAAATGTAGAATAAAAAAGAAAGAAAGAAATGGATGACAGGAAGTAAGGAAGAATAAAAAGGGAAGAAGAGTAAAAAAAATGAAAGAAGTGGGGATTAAAGGTTTTAAAATTTAAGATTATAGAGAGAATCGTCTGGTGATTTGATATTTACCAAGACTGGCAAATTATTATTAGTAACAAGTTCGATTCTTACACTTAGGCCTAGGCTAAGTAATTTACTATCGGACATAAAGAACTCAGAATATGGAAAGAATGGGATAAAAGTGTGTATATCTAAGACGAGAATGTACTAAGTAACGAAAGAAAAGAAAAAGAAAGAATGAAAGAACAACAAAAAAGAAAAGGCACTCAAAGAGAAATGCAAAGTTACAGAAGGAAGTAAAAGATGGCCTGCTTCATGGAGGAAACATTTGCTTATTTCCTGGCCTCGCCAAATACGGTGTTCGATTTCAGATAAAATCCGGACATATTGAATAGAGAATTTTCAAGCCGGGAACTTATCTTATTGGCGCAATAATCCCCAATTCCTCCAACGTATAGCCTTTTAAGCAAAGTGTACTAAATGCCAAACAAACTCATTTAAAAATGGCGGAACGACTAAACCAAGAACCCCACTTAAAAGAAATGCATCATGGGATTGAAGCATTTTCACCCAGGAAGCTGAAAAGATCAGAAGGAAAGAATGAACTAGAAACGGAAGAGAGAGAGAGAGAGAGAAAGTGAGGAGTTATGAAAATTTGGAGAAGACATATTTCTCACCAGGGTCAGAGGTTGGTATTTCTCGTCGAGCTAAAAATAAAAGTCAGGATTTCGAAATCTGAATATCAAAGGCGGAGAGGCTTTATCACTTGAAAGATAGGCTCAATACCTATTTTCTAGTTTTATTCCTACTACCGAGTAAGCTTTGTATTGTACTGTAATAAGCTTCGTACATACCAAGCTAGGCTGATTTTTTTAAAAAATCATCCCAAGTAAGGCAACAATGTTACTAATACGCAAGGGTTTACTGCGAATGAAAGAGAACGAGAAGACTTCAGAAGGAACCGGAAACCAAATCCTAAACAGGAAACAAAGGATAAACCTTTAATCTTGTTTAATAGACGGTGAAAGAGTGTAAACTGGGCGATAGGTTAACCTATCGACCCATATGTAAGAAACAGGGTTATTTACTGTGTCTGGTTTAGTTCTGGCACGAGGTCACAAATATTGGGGAATCTACAAGGATCGAGCATTTAGTATTAGGTTGAGCCATAAGTAATTTCCGTTGAATTTGCTTATTATTTTTTTTTATAAATACAATGCATGATGAAATGTTATTCCATTATGCATTCAGCATTATTTGCAGTAACCTGTCGGCAGCTCTTAAATATGTTTACATAAAATTTATTAGGTTTTTCTGCGACATTTTTTTTGACGAACTCTTGAATCTGGTTTTCATTAGAGAAGGTTCTCTCTTTCTCCCACCACGCCATCACATATAATAATCAGTTGGTGTAAGGTTAAATGGCAAGTCGGTTAGCATAGATCAACCGAGTTCCTAAGTTTTTCATGCGTTATTTTTGCTGTATGGAGTTATGTCTTATCGTAACTGAGAACAATAGTTTTACTTAAATCCACGGTGAACGCTACCATTAATGTACTCCAAATTCATTCTTAAGTGGCACGTATTACTAGCCACTAGGATGATACATTCGTTTTTACAATGAATCCCCTAAACCGAAATTTATTTATGACTCAACCATTTTTTTTTAAATCAAGTCCAATCCAAGCAAGATATTAAAGCCATTGAGACACGAGGGCTTACTAAGCGTAGAAGAATTAGAAAACGAAAACATCACTAACGAGTGAGTAAAGAATAAGCGTAGTCAGGAGGACAGTAGATAGCGATTGACATTGCATTTAAATATTTGAAAAGTCGGTTGGAAAAAAGCATGAAACTGGAAGCGGGTTCCACAGGCGAGAAAATAAACTGTTAGAATAGAACTTAGGGTTACAGCTAGCCAACTCATTTCTACATCGATCAGTTAGTTTTATACCCAATCACTACATGATCCATAGCTAAGGATTTTGAAAAACGACCGGTTCCTTGAAGAGGTCCAGGGAGTCGCTGACTCCACATGCAATTCTCCATCTTTGGAAGAGGCAGTTCAAAAAAAAAAAATGCAATATTGCTGATACATCATGGCTAGGGTGGCTAGATCTTCACTTTTTAACTTCGGAAGAGTTCAAAAATGGCTGCGTGGCCTGATGGATTATTTTCCAATCTACAACCCCTTCATAGTCCTGGGTATGACGATAAACTATATCCGACAGCAAGGCCTATGGTAATGAGATTTAAAGTTTTGAGGGGCGTCGAACCACCTTTTAATTGATGTCGTTCCCAGGTCAACCCTGCCCCGAAGTGGTAGTACCTGTTAAAATCCCAACTATGACCAAATAGTACGGAGGAAGTTCCTTTCCGATAGCTTTTTCATAAGAACAGCTGCTTTGTGGAACAAGTTCCCGGTAGGATGTATTCACAATCACTACAATA